ATGTAGTTACCCAAATTGGAATTTGGCCAGAACACCTGGGTTTCCCTATTCTTAAAAAAAGGCTATTAAATCTTCAGGGACCCAGAGAGATGAGGACCTTGATATTACATCTTGTTAGCAGCACATCACCCCGACACCATGATGGTTCTCAAATGACTTAGTAGGAAGAGCATCTCCTAGTAAGGCACCACGATCACTTTCCTGCGGCTCCTAGTTTTCCTTGGAGGTGTCTCCTCCAAATACCATATTGCAACAATCCTGCCAACCCCTGCTAGTCTGAGTTTACCAAAGCCCCAAGACTGGAAATGAACAGGATCTCGCACATGATAGCGCCTCCCATGACAAGCTGTGCAAACAAGCTGGTGACAACAAAATAAATAAATAAACCCACTTTCGGTCGCTTCCAGCCGGGAGGATTCATACCCCTAGAGTGGAAACAAAATCTTGACAAGAATCTAATAAAGAGCAGGGCTGCTGCTTCCGTTCACTGACAGTCCTGCTCCTAGAGTAAAACCCGAGACAGACTCTTATCTCTGCAGGAAGAGTGCCCCGTAAACTAGCTGATCAGAGCGATGTTGGTGTGCTGAGCCGGTTACATTTTCTCCAGGAAGTATGTACTTGGATGGTGAGAAGTTCATGTTAGGATTCAGAGCTGTCACTTTGGAGAGGGAGCAGGAGAGAGGTGCATGCACGCTCATGTGCACACATGACACACACATGGCAGATGCAGGCCTGGGACTCTCCAGTCGGGCAGCAGCAGCACAGGTAAAGGGCTGGAGGCAGAGGACTTAATGATAGCTCAGACATGTGGTGAATGACTCAGAGGAAGAAACAGGGTTTATAGGAATATTCTCAGATCAACACAGTCCCTGAGCCAACAATTTATTTTAGTCACATTGCATGCACATTATTCACCCATGCCCATAAATTCCTAATTCAAGTAATTAGTTGGGGGAGCTATAGATGTAGTGATGGTTACTTTATAGGTGTCAGGTTGGATAGCCACAATTCTGTTTGTAGGGGGCCTCATCAGGGTAGTCTTATGAAATACCACGTGTGATATGCTGATTGCCCTGGGCTTTTACAATCAATGAATGGCACAAGTCTTGCAGAACATTTCCTGAATTCCTGGGTATCAGTGGCTATTTATTGCTACAACAGACACCTATTCTCTGTCAGACACAACAAAATCTTTGTGGCTCTCAACCCTTCCTAAAGACGTCAAGATCTATATCCAGATTCCCAGGCTAAGAGCTCAGTTTTGGCCTCAGAAGTTCATAGCACAGAAGCCAAAAGGAGATCATGCATAAAACGAGGGCAGAATCTGGCCCCCAAAGAGCCCTCTGCAGTCACTGCTGCAATTCCAGCCTTGCAGTTCTGTGAAACACACACAGCAGCAGACCGAGTGCATGAACCAGACACGCAGCCAGGTACTGCATGAGGTTGTTGTGCAGCATGCATCTGCAGAACAATGTTACAATAGCCCGCCAAAACCTATCACGGCTACAGCTCAACAAATCCATGAAGAGGGGAAAACACTGACCTGATCCAGATATTTTCTGGCAGGTGAATAGGAGAACTAACTGCCAGTGACCAAGCTTTGTGTAGGAGAGAGGACAATCACATTCAGCTTTGCCTGTGAAAATGAGGAATGGATCATGTCCCCTTTTTGATATCAGATGGATCACCAATTAGGAGCTCCGGGCATTCACCAGAGACAGAGTAGGAATACCAGACATGAAAACAGAGCAGGGCCTTGTCATGCCAACTCAACGTAGCCATGAGAGCTGGCATGACGCTGGTTTTAGCAGGATGAGGCTTCTCAAAAAGCAACATACCACCCATTTCTCCTGAATGCAATCGGCAGGCCCTCTGATAGTGGTAAATGCTCACAAACAGCAGCACGTCAACCTTATTCTTAGCTTAGCCAACAGACGAGGCTTTTTACTTCTCCCCACATTGGCCTCCTCTGCTCCACGAGCAGAATACGGCTACATTCGGAGAAAATGAAGGTACTGTCAGTCGATGATGAATCAGGCGACAGCCACAGCTAATTAAAAAAGAAGGAACAGCCGCGTGGCTGTCTGAGCTGGCACCGACAGGGTTACATGCTTGATGGAGGCTGACTGACACTGCTAAGGTTACCTCAGGCTCCCAGCTTTCACCCATCACTCCATGCAGAGCAGTGAGCTCAGCCCACCCAGGGAATACACAGACTCACACACGCACACACACAGACCCAGCACACAGCAGCACTGCCCAACAGGCAGTCTCGTCAGCAACCTGACACCTTTCATAAGGAAAGCGCAGGCAAAATGGAATCTCGCTGGGCTGTTCTTCAATGGCAGCAATAGTCAAAAATACGACCCCGCCGCAGATGCACACACAGACACACACAGAATGCAAAATCCCAGTGCCTACCTTTGCTGTCTGATGCCAGGCAGATTCTGTACTGGTTTGGCTGGGGGACTGTTGCCTTCTTTATGAAGTGTTCTGAGCAACCAATGCTATTTGCATTCTTTCCTTAGCACCTGTTTCAAGCCAAGAAGGGAAAAGCTCATTACGAGATCAGCTCCCTTTTAAAATAAAAATAAGATTAGTGGATCGGCTGTGCCGAACAACAACAATGGCAATAATAAACCATGTACATTAAAGCCCCAAAGTAGGCAGTTTAATAATGGGAGATCTTGCAGGTTGTGAGCATGCTCCAGCCGGAACAAATCCTTCCTCTGTTATTCCTCTGAATAAAAATAAACCATGGTCAAGAAACCCAAACGGAAGCTTCCTCCTAGAATCCCTGCTGCTGAAAAATCTGTAATAAATTCAGCCTGAAGACGCAGAATCTAATCAGCAGCTGTTTTGTGGATCCAGAGCCAGCCAAAGCCTCTCTTGTCTTTTCCCACTATGAGTCTAGGCCTTTTTGAAAAGGGTTTTAACCTTTTAAAGATACAGTACACCAATTATCGCTTCGGGGGAGCTGTCACTCAGGGCTCAAAAAACCCCCATCCACACGAGCCAGGAAGAGGGAGCTGGCGGCGGGCTGAGGATTTCTCCGCGTAATCCTTGCTACTACCACCCCAAACGGGGAGAATGTGATTCCCACTATGAGTCTAGGCCTTTTTGAAAAGGGTTTTAACCTTTTAAAGATACAGTACACCAATTATCGCTTCGGGGGAGCTGTCACTCAGGGCTCAAAAAACCCCCATCCACACGAGCCAGGAAGAGGGAGCTGGCGGCGGGCTGAGGATTTCTCCGCGTAATCCTTGCTACTACCACCCCAAACGGGGAGAATGTGATGTGCGCACTGGGCAAGCGGCGAGCCTGCCATGGGGCCGCTGCGTGCGGACACG